ACAGTCATATGAGCACCATATATAATATATATGTGTTTAGCGATAGATATTCAAGCACAATACAATTTTTAGACGACAAAGGGTAATTTTTCTGTTTAACATACATACAAATTGTATATACATTTAATGTAATAATTTAATTATATCATCATTATTGTTATTAAATAATTATACTGTAAAACTGACGTACACTTACCTATAATTATTCGAATATAAACTAATTCAACTAATTTCAGAATTTCAGGCTTATACGCAATAATTATAGTTTATGTTGGATATAAGTTGGCATTTGATATATTTCGATCCTTCAAATTCAAATTGGGATACACCGAAATACCTTACCCAGACCGTATACTACAAGTAACATAAATCATGCTAATTTGGTTATATAATATTATGATCTATATAGTAGAATGCAATATTTGTAGCTTTGTTACGAAATTTATGTGGTGAGATTCTTCAAAGAATACGAAATGGAAGAAGATTTATACGCAATGTTGATATATTTGTTTCGATCACCACAAACGTTAATCCGTTATACAAGACGACCAGAAAATGAAATGCAAGAAACCCGTGTTTAATAAAACATAAATAATATAAGAAAATGTACTTTTTTGATCAGTTTAATTAAAATATAGTATTTTTTTTTTCAGAAAGTTACAGATTTCAAAAAAAGATATTTAAATATTCTTCTTGTTTAATGTTTATAGTTAAATACTAATTGTAAGTGCATAATTTAAATTTTTTAGGTACAAAGGCATTAATTCGTACATGTTCAATAAGCTATAAAACCAAATACTAATTATTTAGTACTTAACTGCTATAACGTAGGTAAACATTGGATAGTTTATTGAATTTCTGGAAAAGATAGTTGTACCTACCTATTGCCGTATTGGTTATCACCTAATCTAAATATAAAATATGTATATAGTTAATCAATTATATATACATAGGTACATAATATATAACATAGACGAAAATCAACCAATCAGAAGTGGAAAGCTACGACATTGCCCTGCAGAGGTGAAGGAGATTCGTACACTGAAAAAAACTTATTATAACTGTGATAAACTTAGGTAGGTACTTAACAATTTTGTCATACCCTCCAAAACTTTAGTTTTTTGCGACTTCTATGGATTCTATGGCCTTACATTTTGCCCCAAGAATTTAATTATTTCCGTCACGGCTGGTACCTATATACCTCATCATATGAAGATTTTGATTTCCACTCTCTCAATATTGTGACTTAATAGATTTTTAACGTGAATGGATTAACACTGGACCCCAATCAGCTGGAAATTAGCTTGGAATTAGCTATAGTGCCGCCAAAGCCCAAATGTGTCCACTAAGTAACACATACTAAGTAGTAAGTATGTCCGTAAACTGTCATAGTTTAATCACTTATTCACCACACTCATTGCCTCAAGATCTTATTTGGCCTTTAACCTTGTAATGTAATACTCTTTTGTAGTTTTGTTATTGTACCATGCAACAAGCGATTTCCAAACCACCGTATAAATAATTACCGACGTGTCCAAACATTGTTTTGAACTTGATGCATCTCCAGATAGTAAAGCTCGGAAATAGAAATTTTTTTATATCACTTAACGCTGTATTATTTTCGATTAACGCTAAAAATGTGTCGAAAAATGAAGCCCATTCTTGATAATTTCCATTCAACATTCAATGCTGCTAATTTAACTGCTGATATTGTCTTTTTTCGTGTGACATTTTGTCGTTTTCTACGTTTTTCGACATAATATTTTTAGGCATAATTATTTTCTCTGCGATAGTGGCAGTTTGAAGTATAGATCCTCAAACGTAGCTTTATACTCATGTTGGGCTTCCAAATTTACTCCTTCATCCACTTCTATTGCCGCTTGACTTGTTCTTATTTAGCCCACACTTCTTCCATATTTTCCCTCTGAGCCTTTACTTTGAGTGATTCAACAGCTGAAGATTGCAAGGAATTCCAAAAGCGTGTTACCTGTCGTGTTTACTTGTCCCCTCCCCTTCCGTTCGGGGACAACTTTGGCAGACTTACTTTGAAACGCAAACTTTCACGGACAAGCAGGGGGACTCTGCAGGCTCCATTCGACTACTACGTATCAGGGACAGACGAGACCGCTCACACAGTGAACAGCGGACCAGCCAAAAATGTTGATGCAAACTACAATAAAACTACACGAAATCGTTCGAGGCACGTTTGCTGGCACAGGAAGCTAGCATGACACTGTTATTCACAAATAACCACGTTCGGCTACAACAAAAAAGTCAGAAAATTATGCGATCCTGCGGTTTACCAATCACCCGTACACAATTTACAAATCGTACACCAGTCGGGTGTGTCAGCCAAGTGCAAGTGCCGAAGTCTCCTACTATAGGTAGTAATTATGTATAATTACAAAAAATATTTAAGGTCAACTTACTATGAACAAAGAAAGGTATTTTCCGTTGACATTATTCACAATTGAATTAGAAATAGCAAGTAGATAAAACCGATTTTGAAGAAATTATCATTTTATTTTCAAATCTCCATTGTAGATTTTAGATTAATATTATATATACAATTAAGATCAGAAAAAATTCAATAATAATAAACAATACATTTTTTCAATTTCAATATTATTTTTATGATATGTAATATATAACATACTGGCTTAATATGACATACTATTTTCAATTTTGTAATTGGTAATATAAAGAATAGTATTATTAGTTTACATCTGAAAATATATCTGCATATTTGCACTAATAGGTACATATGCACACATTTCTGTAGTCAATTAATAAACTTATTATCAGGGCTCGGGACTTAAAGCATTTGCTTATTTTTTTAGATTGACATAAAATGTAGCAGAGTACTATGGAAGTGTATATCATGTTACAACACATTCAATTATGAAATTTGAGAGTGCTTTTTTTTGCTTTTTTCAGTGATTTTTCAAAAAAATGCTTATTTCAAGTTTTTATGATATTTATTGCTTTTTTGACCAGTTTTCATACTTTTTTATGGTTTTCTACTGCAAAGTTGTTTTTGATAGAATTAAAATTAAAAATAATTTAAATAAAAAAATTTATTAAAATTTATTAAAAAATTATTTTTTTTCAACTATTTGTAAATATTGTTTACATTTTATTTTTCAGAAAATCCCATGGAAAATCCATAAAATCCTCAGTCCTGAAAATGAAGTTTAATTTTTTTTATAATATAAAGATAAATTTTTATTTTTATTTTATTGTTTTTTTTTTTAATAAATATTTTTGCTTAAATTTAAGTTTTTTAAATGCTTATTTGAGTGATTATAATGATGTTTTTAAGTGCTTATTTAAGCGCTTATTTTAATGATTTTAAGTGCTTTAAGTCCCGAGCCCTGCTTATTATTATCATAAAAAATTTGACTTCACTTTTTTGAAAATATAATATGAACTATGTAATTTTACCCGGGTGTTCAAGTAAAATGTAATACACACAGTGGCGTACGCAGGGATAGAGTTCTAGGGTTCTGACCCCTCTGAAATTTCTTAATTTTACAAAAAAAATCTTATTTACTACCATTAAAATCCTCAGAGTCGATAATTTGTTGGCCATTTTTAATAGATATAAAATAAATTGTTAAATATGACAAAGAGTTCGATCATAGTTTCAGTTTATTTTGCTGATTTAGAACATTACAAAACGTCTGCCATAAACGTCACTATATCGATATATGATATATTATGGTGTATCATAATCCATCGATTATCACCACGTTTATTACGACCCGAAGAGGCTCTATAAAGATGACCAAGTGTCCTGGTTAAACACTTGAGTGTTCTAATTTTAGACTAAACCCGTTTGGGTTTTAATATAAAAGTAATAATAGGTGGTTTTATCGGGTTTTTCTGAAAAAACCCATCCAAAAAATCGGAGTTTTTTCCATGTATTAGCTGCACTGTTTTTGATTTTTCCCTTATCTATTATTTTATTACCAAATATTTGTTATTTTGTTAATTGTGAATTTTTGTTTAGATTTGTTCGGACCAATATGTGCCGATATGTGTATAAGCCAGCACGATGATAACGACGACCGTGCGAGGGATACTACAATCCACCACCACCCATGTCGCAGCTGTGGTGATATCATAATAATTATTATAATTATTAAATATTATAGCCGCCAACCAGTTCGGCCGTTGCGTTTATACGTAACACACCTGGTGCGGTCGTGCGTGACAGGTATCGATGATCGCCGGCCTTATTATCGTAAACTTTACGTTAATCGTTCTAGTGTCGCGACAAGTGTAAATCTGTCTTTTTACTATTATTGTGCCGCGTTAAGGGTTAACGATTTTACGGTATTGTTACCACGGCGGTGAGTGACACGGATTACAATATAATTATAGTGGTGTGCGGGCGTATACTCGTACGCTGCGTGATAATAATATAATACTGTCACCGTGATTGCGTAACTTGTGCCATATCGGTCTATGATCGGCGGCGGCGGCAGCAGCGTTCCCGGCAGATGCATATGCGGTCGGGTATCGTTATATTATTATTATTATTGTAAAGCCATGGGGGCTAAAATCGTCACATTGTCTAGTTGTTATTTTATTATGCTAATATTTATTGTGAATTATTCTTGATATCTATATTCATATGTATGATATATTATATTTCTTTGAGACCGGTCCGTTAGGGAATTTAGAATAAAAGTCTTGTTAAACGGGATTGCCGTATTTATACATTAAGATATATTTTATTTGATTTATATTTGATCTGTCGTAACGTGTGAAAATATATCTTGTATTATCATTATGCAGAGTGTGTGATCTATTATTTGTGTCAACAAAAACACTTAACCTCATAGATTCGTGAGCGTCGTGGTATATAGTATATCAACTCTAGGGAGATTTGATACTATTGCCTACATTTTTGGTAGCAGAGCGTGGTTTTTTATTGTATTTTTTTTGTTCATACTCTATAGGTTAATTTTGTTTTCTATTGCTTATAATATATCATGGCTCCCGACCCCCTTAGTGATAGTGAACGGTCGGAGCGGTTACTAAAACGGTGTATCATGCGTCGGGATGGTGCTATCCAAGATATGAATGATTTACATAAGCTAGCGGTAAAGGCAAAGGGTGATATATCGTGTAAAGCGTTATTTTTTGCTCGCAAGGCTGACATTGAACAATTTATGGCAGATATTACGGTAGAACAAGACACAATTATGGACGCGTTGTTGGACGCGGGTCGGGACAGCGAATATGTACATACACACGCTCCATTGATTCGGGAGGTTAAAAATCAATATTATTTCATTCATGCCACGGCACAAGAAATGACCGTTGAACCTCAACCTGTACAAAATGTTCGTACCAACCTCCATTTACCAAAAATAAAGTTACCGTCATTTAGTGGGGATATTCTACAGTGGCCAACCTTCCGTGACAAGTTCGTTGCGTTAGTCGATTCAGATCCCGACTTATCCCCAATCGAAAAGTTCCACTTATTAGCAGGTTGTGTTACTGACAGGGCTGCCACAGTGGTTAACTCGTTGAAAATGACAGATATGAATTATCCAATTGTGTGGCGAAAGTTGATTGATCAGTTCGATAATCCTCGTCTATCTGCCTCGACATTAGTAGACGGACTTCTAAGCTTTCGCCGAATGGAATTTGAAACCGTTCCAGGGTTATCAGCGTTCCTCCATGTTTTTGACGAAAGTTTGCAATCGTTGAAAATGTTCGACATCGAAGATGTGTCTAGTTTTATTATGTTTGTATTAGCAAATAAAAACCTTCCACGTGGTACTCGGGAATTATTTGAAAAGGATAACTCCAACACTTTTCCTGGTATTGAAGATTTGGTAAAGTTCGTTCGATGTCGTATAAAAATCTTGGAAAATATTGATGGTGCTGCAGGTAAGCACATGCCTAAAGACAAATCAAACGGTAGGTTCAATGACAAGCCCACTGGTAAGTTGATGATGGTATCAGCACAGGGCGATGCAAACCCCAAATGTCCGATTTGTAAAGCACCTCATGATGTACAAGTATGCTCAGAGTTTCTATCTATGCAACCCCCGAAGCGGTTTAAGATGATAACTAGTTTCCGTCGGTGTTTCCGATGTTTGAGTGCTACTCATGTATCATCAGCTTGTACCAGTGACGTTTTTTGTGCTACATGTAAGGGGTCACATCACAGTTTATTACATCTCCAAAAATCTAGGGTCAGACCACCATCAGACAATGGTGGGAGTTCGGGCTCGGCACCAGGTGGTATGAATCGTGGGGCATCATCTAGCTCTGTATCGACCGGTGCCGTATCTCATGTTGGAAAAATGGGACCATCCACGGTAGTTTTGGGAACAGCCATGGCTCACACCCGTGATCGGTTCGGTAAAACCGTGGTTGTACGAATTTTAGTTGACTCAGGGTCGCAAATTAGTGCTATAACCGAATCGTGCGCCCACCACCTCGGATTAACTATTAAAAAATGGACGGTCCCAGTGTCAGGATTAGCCGGTGTTACGCTACCCACAGTGAAAGGTTTAACTTCGTGTACCATTACACCTAGGTTCGACAGTAATACCGAAATCGAGGTCAACACATGGGTGTTACCAACCATAACTGTAAATTTACCGAAGTCACCACTTCCAGCATCCATCAAGAGTTCATATGCTCATTTAGCGCTGGCCGACCCCAAGTTTGACATTCCAGCGACAATCGATTTGTTGTTAGGCGCGGATTTGTATCATCATGTGTTCGATGGAAAGCAGTATTCTGAAGAAGGTAATCCCACGGAGGATAGTTCTATATTTGGATGGATACTCATTGGTCCGGTATATCCTGCCGCAACTTCCTATCATCAAGCTGTTGTTGTTTCTTTGGCAACGTCATTAGAGGATATGGTTCGGAAATTCTGGGAAGTTGATGAACCAACGAACGCACCAAGTGAAACTACTGAAGACGGATTTTGTGAAAAGTTATTCTTCGAACACACTATGATAGATCGATCCGGTAGGTATATAGTTCCGTTGCCGTTTCGAGACGCTAATCCGCAAGAAATGTTAAAAGGGACAAGGAACATAGCCCAAAAGCGATTCTTAAATTTAGAACGAAGATTAATTTTAAATCCTACCTTGTATGAGGCGTACCGTGATTTTATGGCTGAGTATATCAGGTTAGGGCATATGCAAGTAGCTAACACTCCAGGCGATTACATCATTCCACATCATGCCGTCACCAAGGATGAAAATGGGAAATTGAAGATCCGTGTAGTATTCGACGCGTCTTCCCGATCCTCAGGTGGACACTCATTGAATGATGTACTTTTGACGGGTCCGAAACTCCAGAATGACATCACGGATATTCTGTTAAGGTTTCGTTTTCCGCGATTTGTTTTCGTGGCCGATATTTGCAAGATGTATCGGCAAATACTCATTCGACCAGAACACCGGTCGTTTCAGCATATTCTGTGGCGACCGTCCCCTGCTGATGAACTGATTGAGTATGAACTCAACACCGTAACTTATGGGACCGGACCTGCTCCATACTTAGCCATCAAAGTGTTACATCGGGTGGCCGAGTCGTGTCGTGCCAAACATCCAAAGGTACATGAAGCGTTGTTCCATAATACTTATGTAGATGATGTTTGTGCGGGTGATGATGTTCTCGATGGTGTGTTAGATTTACAAAGAGATTTAATGGCCGTGCTGGCCAAACATGGGTTCGAGCTGAAGAAGTGGACTAGCAATTGTGATGAAGTATTAGCCCGGATAGATCCATCCTCACGCTCGGAAACTACCATACCGTTTGAAAATTCTGAAGACGCATATGTACGAGTCCTTGGATCACATTGGGATCCCGTTCATGACGTGATTGGATATCATGTGTCACCAGAACTAGGCGTATATACCAAACGAGGAGTTTTGTCCGTAATTGCCAGGTTATATGACCCGATTGGTATGCTGGCACCAGTCACCTTTTGGGCCAAAGACTTTTTGCAGCGATTATGGAAGTTAGGACTTCATTGGGATAGTGAATTACCACCTGATCTACTAAACCAGTGGCGGGCGTACTTGGAAGATCTCCCTGCCGTGTCCCAATCACTGAACTAAATACATGGAACGCGTATTGTGTATAATTCTCTATATGAAAAATGAGCCGATACGTGCGCCGCCATATGCATTCCGTTTGAT